AGAACCTTGACCACCATAATTATTTTTACATTCTTGATGTATAATATCTTAGTTTTGGGGAGTGCCCACATTTATCTTGTACCAAACCGAAAACTGATATAAATTGAATATTCTAGAGACTGTTTTAATTTTTATAACTTGGGGTGTTATTTCGTCACATTATTCAATGGCTGCTCAGTCCAAAGAGTGAATCGTGTTTGAGAGCATTACATCTATATATAACTGAAAATTTGAAAAAACGACACACCCATCAATAGCAATAGTAGTTTTATTCTGTGCTGCTTCCCAGTAATCATTCCATAAGTATTGTATAGATTTGTATAATTGTTGTTAAGTTGTTATGACTAGTGTAGAGAGCCTGTAAAATGTAATGTGTATGCATTTTAGTGCTCAATTAAGATTATTATGATTATTATTATTTCGCATTTTTCTTTGGTGTTTGTCTTAATGAATTTTGAATAAAAGTAAAATGAAAGTGTCATTCAATTTCGTCCCTTGTTTCTTTACCTACCGACTGGTCCACTGGCCAAAGGATTTTCACAAACGTTAAAATAAATCCTTCATATGCAATTCCGTGTTCAATTTCTCTACGAAATAAAAATGTTGGACTCGAACCGGTCATCTTCATTCTGATCCCTAAGCTAGCACGTTAAACGATTCCTCTATCCCCTCAACCAAAATCCTGAACTTTGGATGTCCCACCTATAGTTATGAGGTTATTTTTCTCCTAAATGCAACTTTTCTGGGAATCGATCCTGTCACCTTCTGGTCTCCAGTCTAGCACGTTACCGGTTCGTCTATTCACCCAACCTCCCACCCTAAACTTTGGATGTTCCATTTATAGTTATGGGTGGGAGGTTGTTTTTCTACAAAAATACATCTTGTCTGGGAATCGATCCTGTCATCTTCTGGTCTCCAGTCTAGCACGTTACCGGTTCGTCTATTCACCCAACCACCCACCCTAAATTTTGAATCTTTCCTTTATAGTTGCAGGCACTTTTTGGCAAACGTTGCAAAAGATAAAGAAGACAAGATAAAATGGTTCGTTTTGCTATTTACAATTTCAGCGTAAACTAAATGAATTGAAAGCAAACAAAATTATGGGATTTTTTAACAAGCAATTTTAAAATTCAGCCCTTATTTTTGCAGTGTTTATTAGGTTCAAATCTTTTTAACAACTTTTAAATATTGAATGAATAATGAAACGCTGAAAATTAGGTCGCAAGTTTTCTCGAACGTTCGAGGTGGCATGAATTCATTTTTGGGGTAAAATAATTGAGACAATTCTACATAAGTATGACGACAAGAGGGTTGCGGGTCTCAACACTGAACAAAGTGCAAACGTGCTAAATAAGGGTTAAATAAAAAGAGTTGAAATATGCTAACATTTATTCACATTACTGTGCAATAAAAACGTAGAAAACAATAATATACATTTCTCAACAAAAATGAACTCTGTTCTGTAAGATATGTCTCTAATCAAATTAAAGCATATTATTATAAAAGAAAATAACAAAAATTTCGGGTTTTTTTATGTCTAGGATAATGACTCGATTTTTGGTCAAAAGACAACACAAACTTAATAACTGCTCAGTTTCACTTACGTGTAAGTCAATCTCACTACTTTTAAATGGTGGTTTCCAACATCTGACAACAAAAGCATATAAAAAAGATTCGAACCCGGGACTCTTGCAAACCGTGCGACTGCTCTCCCAACTACCGAGCCCGGGCAACCCCGGCCAGCCACTACACTGAAAATGTACGTTGTCAATCATTGTAATCACTAGTTTCTTGATGGCTTATGGTAACTGCCGTGGATATGACCGTCTCCCATTTATAGTTTAATGTCAACAATACATTAGTAGACCACGTACGCGTTTTCTTTTTCAGACATTCCAGCTGAATCTCAAACTCAAACTTCCCGTATTTCACTATGCATCATATTCCATTGTTCCTAGGCGTACATATAAAACAAGAAGAAATGACCCCACAGGATCCAGGCAATCGTTTTCACTCTATTTCACCAAGAATTATCATCTTTTTAATTGAAAACCAAAAGGCATAATCATGAAATGTCTTAGACGCGCAAACTTTCCACCTTTCCACACAAGCAAAAAACGCCCCTGCATCCACAATAGTATCACTGTCTTCTTCACCGCCAGTACTGGGGGCTCACTACCTATGGGCCTACTGTGTGTGAGCACCGACTAGTTACTTCTCGGTCTTTTTNAATTATTATTTATTTATTTTTTTTTTTTTTTTTTTTTTTGTGATAACTTGTCATCCACCCTGGGTGTTATATAACATTTGGGGCAAGCTACCCACGCAGGCGGTCCAATAAATCTACGCTTAAGGTCACATCGAAAGCATGTGGTCAAATCAGTATGAAATATGCACCAGTGCTTGACAACCTCTAATGGAAAAACAATGCAACTGTTGGCCCACGCGCGCGTATCGGTTTGTCTATTTCTGTAGGTGCATGCAATAAGTGTACCACAGAGAGTGTTTTATGTTGGTGACGCGTACGTCACATGGAGGGCGTCCGCCAGGTCCTTGCGGTTCACCTTGACCAGCGCCTCGCAGAGCTGACGCTGAAGAGGACCTCGTTCGCTGAGCAAGCTACGGTTCCTCCAACGCAGCAGCATGTTGAATATCTGCAGGCGCATGTCTCCTGTAAATAAATAAATAAATAAATAAATAAATAAATAAATAAATAAATAAATAAAAACACGAATATATAAAAAATCTAACTTGTTGGCCGATTTTCGTAAAGCACATACATGTACGTTACGCCAGTAATGGTCTTTGAGTGACGCGCATAAAACGCCATCTATCAAAATGATACGGCAACAACCAACTTTTTTGCAATAAGTAGGCACCAAGACACGAATAACTGAATTTCTGGTGAGCACTAACCTTGATCATCGTGTACAATGTGGTCAATTTCCGCAATCGACAGGCCCAGATATATCCCCAATGTCTTCCATTCCTGACCAATTTCATGAGAGAGATCCATCAATGGCGCCTCTTTGAGAGATTCTGTAAGGAGAACATTAACTGTCTTTGAATGAAATTAACAAAACACCTCGTCCTATTCCAGACCTTAAATAGCAAGTGTTTACAAAATCTGAATCACTCGAGGTTGACTGAATGTCCAACTGAATTGCTGTCATGGTGATGATTTAATATGTTGAACTACCATGACTCTCAGAACCCTTTCAATATACGGTTTGATTTACATCTAATTCCAATTCGTGCTCGCCTTGAATGACAAGGCACCTTAATATATTTAAGCTCTTCCGGATCAGCTACATGTACCTTTCAGACAGTCAGAATCTGTTAAGTCTTATTTTGTAGAGATTTTTAATTTAAAAATTGGAAATCTTGTAGCTGCATATTTCAGCAGTTAAAATGTTATTTGGACGGAAACATCATCAACTATCAACTATGGTCGGCGCAGGAAGTTATGATGTAATGCTATTTAAAAGATGGCGTCATTTTCTAGTACCTGGAATGTCAAACTGCGATCCAGTGACATCGCTTATATCTGTCACAAGATGAATGATGCCTGAAAACAGAAATACGAATGTATATCATTTATTTCTTTGCTACAAAACAATTAAAACTATTTTTTTAAAATCTATACCATTAAAAANTAGTCTCCAGTCTAGCACGTTACCGGTTCGTCTATTCACCCAACCACCCACCCTAAATTTTGAATCTTTCCTTTATAGTTGCAGGCACTTTTTGGCAAACGTTGCAAAAGATAAAGAAGACAAGATAAAATGGTTCGTTTTGCGATTTTCAATTTCAGCGTAAACTGAATGAATTAACAGCAAACAAAAATTATGGGATTTTTTTAACAAGCAATTTTAAAATTCAGCCCTTATTTTTGCAGTGTTTATTAGGTTCAAATCTTTTTAAAACAACTCGGGGCTCGGTGCTTTTTAAATATTGAATGAATAATGAAACGCTGAAAATTAGGTCGCAAGTTTTCTCGAGCGTTCCAGGTGGCATGAATTCATTTTTGGGGTAAAATGATTGAGACAATTCTACATAAGTATGACGACAAGAGGGTTGCGGGTCTCAACACTGAACAAAGTGCAAGCGTGCTAAATAAGGGTTAAAAAAGAGATGAAATTTGCTAACATTTATTCACATCACTATGCAATAAAAACGTAGAAAACAATAATATACATTTCTCAACAAAAACGAACTCTGTTCTGTAAGATATGTCTCTAATCAAATTAAAGCATATTATTATAAAAGAAAATAACAAAAATTTCGGGGTTTTTTATGTCTAGGATAATGACTCGATTTTTGGTCAAAAGACAACACAAACTTAATAACTGCTCAGTTTCACTTACTTGTAAGTCAATCTCACTACTTTTAAATGGTGGTTTCCAACATCTGACAACAAAAGCATATAAAAAAGATTCGAACCCGGGACTCTTGCAAACCGTGCGACTGCTCTCCCAACTACCGAGCCCGAGCAACCCCGGCCAGCCACTACACTGAAAATGTACGTTGTCAATCATTGTAATCACTAGTTTCTTGATGGCTTATGGTAACTGCCGTGGATATGACCGTCTCCCATTTGTAGTTTAATGTCAACAATACATTAGTAGACCACTTACGCGTTTTCTTTTTCAGCCATTCCAGCTGAATCTCAAACTCAAACTTCCCGTATTTCACTATGCATCATATTCCATTGTTCCTAGGCGTACATATAAAACAGGAAGAAATGACCCCACAGGATCCAGGCAATCGTTTTCACTCTACTTCACCAAGAATTATCATCTTTTTAATTGAAAACCAAAAGGCATAATCATGAAATGTCTTAGACGCGCAAACTTTCCACCTTTCCACACAAGCAAAAAACGCCCCTGCATCCACAATAGTATCACTGTCTTCTTCACCGCCAGTACTGGGGCTCACTACCTATAGGCCTACTGTGTGTTAGCACCGACTAGTTACTTCTCGGTCCTTTATTTTATTCATTTTTTTTTTTTTTTTTGATAACTTGTCATCCACCCTGGGTATTATATATAACATTTGGGGCAAGCTACCCACGCAGGCGGTCCAATAAATCTACGCTAAAGGTCACATCGAAAGCATGTGGTCAAATCAGTATGAAATATGCACCAGTGCTTGACAACCTCTAATGGAAAAAAAATGCAACTGTTGGCCCACGCGCGCGTATCGGTTTGTCTATTTCTGTAGGTGCATGCAATAAGTGTACCACAGAGAGTGTTTTATGTTGGTGACGCGTACGTCACATGGAGGGCGTCCGCCAGGTCCTTGCGGTTCACCTTGACCAGCGCCTCGCAGAGCTGACGCTGAAGAGGACCTCGTTCGCTGAGCAAGCTGCGGTTCCTCCAACGCAGCAGCATGTTGAATATCTGCAGGCGCATGTCTCCTGTAAATAAATAAATAAATAAATAAATAAATAAATAAATAAAAACACGAATATATAAAAAATCTAACTTGTTGGCCGATTTTCGTAAAGCACATACATGTACGTTACGCCAGTAATGGTCTTTGAGTGACGCGCACAAAAACCAACTTTTTTGCAATAAGTAGGCTCCAAGACACGAATAACTGAATTTCTGGTGAGCACTAACCTTGATCATCGTGTACAATGTGGTCAATTTCCGCAATCGACAGGCCCAGATATATCCCCAATGTCTTCCATTCCTGACCAATTTCATGAGAGAGATCCATCAATGGGGCCTCTTTGAGAGATTCTGTAAGGAGAACATTAACTGTCTTTGAATGAAATTAACAAAACACCTCGTCCTATTCCAGACCTTAAATAGCAAGTGTTTACAAAATCTGAATCACTCGAGGTTGACTGAATGTCCAACTGGATTGCTGTCATGGTGATGATTTAATATGTTGAACTCCATGACTCTCAGAACCCTTTCAATATACGGTTTGATTTACTTCTAATTCCAATTCGTGCTCGCCTTGAATGACAAGGCACCTTAATATATTTAAGCTCTTCCGGATCAGCTACATGTACCTTTCAGACAGTCAGAATCTGTTAAGTCTTATTTTGTAGAGATTTTTAATTTTGAAATCGGAAATCTTGTAGCTGCATATTTCAGCAGTTAAAATGTTATTTGGACGGAAACATCATCAACTATCAACTATGGTCGGCGCAGGAAGTTATGATGTAATGCTATTTAAAAGATGGCGTCATTTTCTAGTACCTGGAATGTCAAACTGCGATCCAGTGACATCACTTATATCTGTCACAAGATGAATGATGCCTGAAAACAGAAATACGAATGTATATCATTTATTTCTTTGCTACAAAACAATTAAAACCATTTTTTTAAATCTATACCATTAAAATGTAATTTTGAAAAAGGGGACGGTTAAAAGTATCAAAGTTCTCTCTTGTGTTAGAGATGTTTGCTGGAGCATTTTTACAAATAGCTGGCAAGAGTAAAAAGAAATAATGGGTAACAAGAACGATCAATGAATAAGGTACGTGAAGTAATGAAGTAGTGATGGTCAATTAAAAAGGAGTGAGGAAATCTAGGAAAGACAAAAAGGAAAAAATAGTAAAAGACGAAGGTGCAGGTACCTAATAGGTCAACGCGGCCAATCCTTATCAATGCCTCGCAAAGTCTTTGGACTGTTGGATTGACGTCCCGTCTCAGCCAATAGGCGAGCATCTTTTCAGCCCGCAAAGCTATGTCCATTCCATTCCCTCCACCGTGGACCCAAGACGGGACATCTAGGCGAACAGCCAGATTGGGCAAATCTCTACTCGGGATATGCTCCTTCAGTATACTGCAAATTTTCTCCAAAATCTGCCTGTCGGTGTTCCCTTTACGCCCAGTGTTCCTACGCCGAGAAATCCAGTTCTGGAAATATCGAATCAGATGTCGTCTGCTTGAAGCACGTCTGACCAGAGGAGAACCATTTGTCGTGGTCTGATTGGATGATCCAGTAGAGCAGTCCCCGTTTGGGTGGATTGTCAAAGCATAATTGGATGAAACGTCGAGACAGACGCCGTTTGATTGCGATGGAGAAATCGAACATTTTCTTTGGGTTTCAGCATGTTCAGTAGTTTTTCTAAATGTTTGTCCATTTTCTTCTGGCAACTCCTTTCCATTTGTTGTCATCTGTTGGACATCAGGGCTGCACGATCGTCTGCTGTGTGGAATGGGTGCTGAATCTGTCACGTCAAAGCTATCTTTGGTCTTTTGAGCCATATTCACATAGTCCTAAGTAAATAAAAAAGTTGTCATACAGCATTCTATATCAAAACCAATCAAAACACCAAACATATTTAATTGGAATGCCTTCTAATTCTGTAAGTCCACCTACGGTCACTTAAAAGAACAATTAATTTCATTTTGATCAAAATCGATTTTAGATGACAAACCTTGTAAGGGCCATCAGCTATGTTCAAATGTATGCACATTCAAGTGCTTGTCTAGCATGTCCATATCTACCTTCAACTGTTAATCTATTGAATAATAAGAATAGTTTGTTTACCGCATATTCTCCACCAATATTCATGGAATGTTGAAGTTTCCTGCAGATGTCAGTGTATCCGTCTTGTAAAGCATAATGGTAAGGTAAAAGTCCAGCTCTGTTCTTAATCTCCGGATCAGCGCCTGCCTGAAGAAGAATATCTACCGCCAAGATGCAGCCATACCGAGCTGCCCAGTGTAAAGGAGTACAGCCATCAGAATCACCGGCGTTAATGTCACCTTTGGCGTCGATGGCAGCGACCATGCTGGCAGCGTCACCACTCTTGGCGACGCAGTGAAGAACCGTGACGTCATCTATGTCGCCAAGCCGTGCTTTGGCGTTGAATTTGCAACTGAATTCCCTCAGAAGTTTCAAGATGTCTGATTTCCCTTGCAGGGCTGCGATGTGCGCCGGGGTTAGACCGAGGTACGGAGAACCCGCGGCTGTTACACGCCTCTCCATTAGAAAGCGCGCCTCGCGTTCCGTCTCCATCACGTGACTGACCACGTGCACTAAGCCCTTTTCACAAGCCCAGTGAAGAAGAGCCCGCCCCTTTGCGTCTTCTTCAAATAAAACACAGGGATGACGTCGAAGTAGAGTCGCGACAGCTTTCTTGTGCACGACTGTAAGGGCCTCATTTTTTGCGCGGAAGTAGTCATGCTCGATGAGGCACTTAATAACTTCCACTTTTCCCTTGCGCGCAGCGATGAAAAGAGGGGAAAGGTTTACGTTCAAATGGTCTAATTTCGCGCCAAGGGAGAGTAGTTTACGCACGCAGTTCACATGCCCCTCTTTAGCTGCTAGGTATAAAGCGGAATGCCCCTGGTTTAACTGCACATTTGGGTCAAGCCCTGCTTTAACCAGCGTGTCAACTACGTGACTGTGACCTCCCTTCGCCGCCAAATGGAGCGCGTTCAAATCTTTGACGTCACGAGAAGATTTCTTCTTAAAGATATCACATCCTGCCTGTATTAGGGCTTTAACTACCTGTAAATGGCCTCTTTGAGCGGCCAGGTGTAATGACGTCAGCCCTGTGACCTCACAACTAGAGACAATGACGTCAGGATCACAGCCGCAAGTTACAAGTGTGCGTACAATATCAGTGAACCCCCCTTGGCTAGCTAGGTGCAGTGCTGTGCATCCGTCACTTCTTCTAGCACTGACGTCGCACCCAGCTTCTATTAAGAAGTTCACTACTTTAGGATGGTTGCATTGTGAAGCGTAGTGTAAAGGGGTGACGTCATGCAGACTGCCAACCGTTCGCTTAGCATTTACATTTGCGCCAGCATCTATCAAATATTGAAGAATGTCCAAATTTCCTATCTGTGCTGCTAAGTGAAGAGCGTGGACGTGGCCTTCATTTGTTGGTATTACGTCATTTACCACAATGACGTCACTCCCGGATGACGTCATGTAACGAACAGCGGCCACGTCTTCTTCCAGAATGGCTTGCGTGAGAGATTTCTGAATTCGTGGCATAATGTGCCTGCAATATTGAATAGAATTTCATAAATTCATTTAATTCTAACTTATTAGATACCTTATACAAAAGAAGTGAGTTGGCGAAAATGCTACAAATACATGATTGGCATTGGTTTCCATAAAGCAAATCTTTTAGTATGAGCGTTAAAAAGGTACAAGAGATATTCACATAACTTCTCAAAAATGAAATGAAAGCTGCCAATCGTGATAAATGATGGTAGAGACCTTTAAGTTGAGCCAAGATTATGCCATGCAAGACTTTAAATCGGAATTACTTGATTAATGCAGACATATTTGCGGTAAACTGATGTCAACGCTCACAAAGAATGATTTATCATAAAATATTTGAAGATCAGAAGAAATTGGTCAACAGGAAAGACATGCGGATTAAGTTACTGACTGCAGGTGTGCAGCTAGCAATTACAGAGTAGGGATTTCACAATTCTCATAGAACCCAGATCAACCTAAAGTGCGGTTCTTTCGAACCCTCCAAACCACTACCTGCTGCATTGGCGGGTCCAGGGGAAAGAGACAATGTGGGCAATTCACTGTAATAGTAATATATAATGTACAGAGATGGAAATGTTGTTTTGATTTAGCCTCATTTCTCCTGTTATACAGAGTATACAGCTGGGGTAAGCGGCTTTGAACCAATGGTCCAGTTAACTCCTCCCCCCAAGATCCGATATTGCAAGCACACGCCCGCACCCGCACACACCCAAACGCATGCCCTATTCGCCTACACAACCACATCAGTCATCAGCCACCACTATTTTCCACCCTTCCACGAGAAAAACACACACAAACATACACACACACACACACACACACACACACACACAAAGACATCTGTGCATATTTTATCGTAAACTTCTAAGCTTTATACATGTACTTTAAAATACTTAAAAGTACTTAGTACATTGCTTGTATTATTCATTGTCTCTCCCACAGGTATGTACCGGTAGTTAATCCGTTCCCCCATACTACGATGTTGTTCCTGTACGCACACTGCATGCATACAGATGATCAGAATTTAAGCCACGGAATTTGGAGGCCTTTCTATAATGGTTTTAATGATCGCATTATTCCCCTCTAAATTATCTATTCATCGCTGTTGCCCGTATCTTAACGAGAAAAGTATTTCTGAAAGAATGTTCATCTTATTCACCAAGTCGTTTAAAGGGTATTTTTAGACGCTTATTTAATATTCTAAATATGTAACTACACATCTTGTCTTTGACGTTCCGTGAATGAATAAAATATCGAACTAAATGTTGTTATAAACCCATTTTTCATCAACTGTAGGTTATTCGTTGAAAAGATTTTTTATCTCTCTCATTCTCCCCTCTCTCCATCCATATACCCACCCATCCATCCATCCATCCACCGATACTCTCTCTCTTTCTCTCTCCTTCTCTCTCTTCGCTTCTCCTTCTCTCTCTCTCCCTCTCTCTCTCTCTCTCTCTCTCTCTCTCTCTCTATATATATATATATATATATATATATATATATATATATATCCTTCCATCCATCCTTTCTTTACCTCTTTATCTCCATACATTAATCCATTCATCCATCCATGACCCCCTCTCTCACTCTCATTACCCTCCATACCCTGCTCTCGCTCTCACTCAACAACAACGTAATGACAAGAATGTTTACAATCCCCCTCACACACACACACACACACACACACACATTACCATCATCACTATGGCTCATTGGCCTAATGGCACTGAAGACCCGATAAATCATATCGTATCAATGCCACCAGCTTCCGCGATTTACGCTGGGGAATTCCCTACCGGAAACGGGAGTGTTCTCTGACAGACAGATAAAAGATTACTCACGCCACTGCGATACACTGTAACAAGTTATTGGTTTCACTCAGTGATTAGGTACTGTCAGCGTATTTGTTCATTCAACAAAATGAAATTGTATTATGGTGTCTGAATACGCCTATGGCATGAACTTATTTTCTAATAAACGATGCGTCTTTTTTATATACACGTTTTCGGAATATGCACATTTTGGATGTATTTTTGTTTTACTGCCATACTTAATCAACTCTTTTTCTTCCTCTTTCTCTCTCTCTCTCTCTCTCTCTCCATAAGATGAAGTGAAACAAATCATCAATCAACACTACAATTAAAAGCCACAAAAGTACTTCAGTTGAAAACTCTTTCCACATCCTCCCCATTGCAACGCAAGTGTTTGAAACACCAGACAATTAAAAGTCAACATGGCAAAACCGCAGCATCCTGTCGCTTAAAAAACAAGACCTATAAAACGCATAAGACAAATATCTTACGCAAAGGAATCCCCACCGGAAAAAAAGGAGCGGCTCAATCTTGAAGATTAGGTGACCCTTTTATTCACACACATATCAGTGCTTGCGTGTTGTGTACACTGCATAGATTTATTCGCCTACCTTTAAACGCACCGAAGCATTAAATGGGCTCTCTGTAGTCTTCATCGTTTTGCTTTGTTACTAAGAAGAGAGCTACAACTTAAACATGTATATAGTTGATGACGTAATTTCTTTATTTTGTTTTCCTCCTTTTTTAAATGTGTAATTAATTAATCGATTAATCCACACAGCAAGTGTGAATAAATCATTTTATTCATCTGATAAATACAAATTGAACTAATCATAACCAGTAAGGTGGTGAGGAGATCAAAATTAAGAAGGATTAGGATCACGGCACTAAAAAATTGTTGAGAAGAAAATGCATCACCAGGGAGCCAAACCCAAAATAAATAGATTAACGATGACTCTTGAAATGACAGTGCTTCCGTTTTACTGTTATCTGTGAAGTGTGTACTGAATGTATTACTAGCGCTATATCAGAGATGTAATACGTCTAAGCTATCACTGATAAAACGTAATACGTGTTTACATATAAATCAGTGAATGTTGGTCTTCGCGGTGGCTTATCCCTCTTCTCTCATTCTTTCTTTCTTCCTTCCTTCCTTCCTTTCTTTCTTTCTTTTTTCTTTCTTTCTCTCTTTCTGTAAGTATGAATGTGCATGTACGTATGAATATGCATGTCTCTCTGTGTATTCGTTCGTCTATCCCCAAGTCACTCTTTTTTTTTCTTTTTCTATTTTTTGTCTGTATCAAACATTCTTGGTTTAATTAATGTTCATATTTTGACAGACAGCAGGTGCCACAGCATTCACATGGGCTTTATGTAGTCGGAGTCTTGACAAACGCCCTACATTTCAATCAATTTCCCCAACTACTGTTTGACATGCTTAATTTGTTTTCAGTAAAGAGGCAACGTACGTCAACTCGACACCCTACCACTGGAATTGTTATTAGCAATCTCTCTCTCTCTCTCCCCCCTCTCTCTCTCTCTCTGTCTCTTTTTCTCACACACACACACACACACACACACACACACACTTCAATTTATACAATGTAGAAATTTGCCTTTACACATTTTTTAAAAATTTTTTTGCCTAGCTTGTCGACATTTTTCTCATCTTCTCGATCTTTGTCTAAATGTATGCGGTTGTAAGGACTCCAGCATTGGCGGGACTTCTCAAGTCATGTCAAGTAACCTACATCACCATTAATACCAGAACAATGTTATACTGGTGCTCTGAATCTCTGGCTGAGTTTTCATTTCAAATATCGTTTTCTAAACTTTTGACATAAACCAGGATCCAGCTCTAGCTAGGACACAGGTCAACTTGTTGCGAGTCAATGAGATTAACTTAACTGTGGCATGAGAGGTTAAAGAAGTTGGAGGTGAAGCTACACGCCCCCCCCCCACCCANCTAAATGTATGCGGTTGTAAGGACTCCAGCATTGGCGGGACTTCTCAAGTCATGTCAAGTAACCTACATCACCATTAATACCAGAACAATGTTATACTGGTGCTCTGAATCTCTGGCTGAGTTTTCATTTCAAATATCGTTTTCTAAACTTTTGACATAAACCAGGATCCAGCTCTAGCTAGGACACAGGTCAACTTGTTGCGAGTCAATGAGATTAACTTAACTGTGGCATGAGAGGTTAAAGAAGTTGGAGGTGAAGCTACACGCCCCCCCCCCCACCCACCCACCCCAAACGCCATCAGTTTTAAAATATATTTTAGGCCGACATCACTGCCCCACCTTCGCCCCCCCCCCCCCCAAGGCCAACCCACCCAAACCTAGAAACCAGCAATATTAAGCTAAGAGACAAATGACATAAAAGAAAATCAAAGTGACAATGGTTTATATATCTTACAATACACGTTAACTGTACATGTACTTACCCTGCGGTTCGATTAACGTAGAAAGTTCCAAAGAAATGCACGTGCTTTGACGTGACCCCAATACTTCAAATTGCCGAAACACGAAGCAACTGGCTTTTCTGTGATTGTTAATATGCCGCTTTGCCCTTCTCAATCACGTCCTTGTAACGCAAATCAAATAGACCCTTACTGTAGCTTAACACGACACGGCAATCATAAGAGGCCTTCTAGTTAATGGAGTTGTCAGTTGAAATCTCCCGTTCATCTACGCAACAGCGGGTATCAAAAACTTTGTGTCTCTTCTTGTTACTCAATAAGATCTATTCAAACGGCTAGTTTCCTTTCTTTACTTTCAGCAGTTATAGGCCTATATGGCTGATATTATGCCCGTCTCAAATTTTGTTGTAGTGTCCACTGACGACAGCGGAGACAGCTCTATTAGATGCCCGGGTCAGTGAAAACCTTATCTCCTTTTCTCATATGTAGGCCTATGTCTCCTCGCTAGCGGTAAAAGACCCACTTGTTCCCTATCCAACCCTATCAACTCGTCTGACCTTAAATCTCAGATTTCGTTTGGGGAAACTGTGAATGAAATCACGTGACTCGAACTGCTCATTCATCAGATGCGCTCTGGACTGGAACGCTGCGCAGTTATCGTCTGCTTGAACAGGTGTGCGTACTGACAGAAAGGAAGCAAACGCGCGTACATGCTCGCCAGCATTCACACTTTAAAAAGGCACTGCACGAATGCTGGCTGAGGCACGAGCATTCAAAAATAAGCTCACATTAGGTCAAACCCTCGAGTGAAAACGGCTTCATTTTTGTGAATGGGTGGGCCTGTCTTGAAGGGGATTCCCCCGGCTATACTTGAAACCTAATCATAACCGAAAGTGAACATGGTCTTTTTGTTACTTTTAAAACTTTTTGACATGATACAATGTATAATAAATGTCTTTGTTTTTGCTGTGGAGTGTGACCCATACTTCCCTTCCAAAACAATAACAACAATCATTTTCATTCAGAATAAATGGTATACATGTGTAACCCGCGCCGGTTGGTTACTTAGTTCTGAGCGGGTAGCAGCTTGAAAACATGGAACGACTTCAATTGTAGCTCATGTAGATCTTTATTCACCGACGGGCTACAAACTGGCACGCAGGCAGGAATGGTCACGACGATCTCCCGGGGTCTCTGTCTCACTAACTGAGAAGCCCTCATTTTATACTGAATCGTTCTAAGTCCTGCATGCCCAATAACTATTACTAAATGTGTGTAATTTATAGGAATAATAAAGGAACTAAATGTAACAAACGTGATTAATAGGAAGTATGATAAAACTAAATGCAGGGACTGTATTACATTTCATAGTAGCCCTGAACACGGATATGTTCTCCGGGTAATAAGATTACATAACGCTCGGACCTGGGAATGGCCTCAACTGAAATTTCCCAAGGTGTAGTGACTGTTTTTGGTGGAAGAGATCAAAAGAGCGAAATGACTATGAGGCCAAAGTATTTCTATAATTTTAGAGTTGGCACCGGGTTTCCATTTTCTGTCATCTGAAAGGGGTGTATCTTCAATTACTTAAATAAATTACTTTACCGAGATTTTTGTTTCTAATTTTGGTTTCTCTTCCGTGATTGAAAATGTGATTTAAAGGCAGAGACAAATTGTATAACACTACTGTGTTACACATGTACGTACCTCATTAACAGTCTCTAACTTATTAAAAAATATGTGGGTACCAAATTTCAGCAAGAAAGGACAGGATCTTGCCAAACAATTTACTTACCTGTCCTCTCTCGTGGTCATTTGCGGGGTTTCGGATGGAAATTTAAAGCAGCTCAGCCGATTTTTTTTCACAAATTTTCAGATATTTCATTGTTGCAGCTTAACTGAAAGTTGTGCGGGAAATTCCCTTCAAAATCAAAAACCTGAACACATAAGTGATCGTTTTTTTTTTTTTTTTAATTTAAACCAATTTCGTATTTAGAAACAAAATTCTCGTAATATAGGCCTAGTCCCACCCTAGACAAAAACATTTTCTGCCGTGCAAAACCGATATCTTGGTTTTCTCCGTCCCAAATGTACCCATGATTTATATTTCAGGTGCTAAGCTTACTACCCCTATGCCCATTTCGGCCAATTTTAGTGTGCATCGAAAGGCAGACAAGTAGGGTTTGTTTCCTGACGTTTTGTAGGTTTTATCGACCCGTGGAGTATTTCATTGTTGAGGGTAGACGAATTTTTATTCTTCGTACATTCCTTATTTATCAATAAAAGTCATGTTAAAACATAGGATATAACATAAAACACTGTTATATTAATATAGCACACTGTTTGCTCTTCCTAATGTGCTAATTTATTAACGACCAATAATCTGATTGTCTTTCGAAACAAAAGTCATAACACATCATAAAATCTTTTTAAAAATTAAAAAATACTTAATCAAAAACTTAAATATTTATGAAAAGAAAATCAGTTTCATCTAAAAAGTCATTCATTGCTATAAGTACCAACTGGAATTTTTCTTTAAAAATATAAAGTTTATAGGTAAAAATAGCCTCTTAAAAATGACGGCGATGCTTATCTCATGCACGTCACGTATAATATGAAAATCAATTTTTCTAATCTCAAAAATAGTTGATCTTGGGTTGTTGTAAGTGACATACAAGTGGGTCAAATGTTATGGAAGAAAGGGATTAACAAGACGTAAGTCAGTTTTGGTGAAACTCCATTTAGAACTGTAAAATAGGGGCAATACATATATGGCAATATATAAGGCTGATTCGCAAACATATTTCATGCACGGATGGTTTTTTCAATTAATATTTGATTGATCATTTATATAATCTTGGCCAAAACAAGCAGAGCAGTCATTATAACTGGTGCTCCCGTTGTTGTGTGGCTCCCTCTACTTATTGGACCGCGCGTGCTTCTTGGATTGGCGGTGCTTGGTTGCGGCATTTGCGAGAGTGACGGAATGTTGCCGTAAATGCCGTCAGGATAACGCGAAGTCATTACCTTCACCTTGACCTCTCCCCGTTGCAATGCTGCTATGTTGTCGTCATCCAGAGCCACCTCCATGGTATGGTCCTGGAATTTGTTATAAAATAGGAGGAGGTGAAACACACGATTCCTCGATCGGACAATGTAGAAATCTCCATTTCCAAATCCTAGGACGATAAAGTTGTGTTAAGCAGAATTTTCGTCAACATACCTTTAACATAAAACCCTTGTCTTGAAGAAGTGATGGCGCAAACAGTTCTCCGCCCGCAGAACACAGCTGACTGCTACCAGAGGTTACTTGTACACCGGTCACATTTTCGTCTTGGCGAGCGTCAAATACAAGGACACTAAAATGAAGAAAAAAAAGGCTAAAATGACGTTTATTTAACATTTTTTTTTTCAAAACAAGCACATGATGCATTTGTCACAGTGTTACCAGAGAGAAACAATTTTATTTTTGTTTCGTAAGCCTATAAATTGTTGCAGACATCATTATACATTATATATTATATACACTATTGAATAGAACTATCATTTGTTCTCTCATTCATAATGCACACCCCATTAGGCCTACTTACTAGGTTCCCACCGAGAAGTGATTTAAAGCTCGTCGTAAAATCATTGAGGTGAGTTATGTTACCAAGAGTTATGATAAAGTGACGCTGTCTAGTTGCGTTGTCATATATCAGGCGTCATCTCATCAAAAATGTAATTTCCTTTTCCTACCTCATATTAAGAGTCTTTGCAAGTGCGTCGTAATGAACAGCAGCCAAGCCATTCGTGTCCAGGACCTTTTTCAACCTGTCCGACGCCTGGCCGTCTACGGTCACTTCACTGACCTGACCTAAAAAGAGATAAAGGCAAACTGTTTTGTAAAAATATTGTAACTAAGGTGCCCAGAAACCCGAACTGGCAATGAAAAATAGTTTACCAGTTGTTAATTAATAATTAACATTCTTAAACCAATGCCTTAATCGCTTTTCTCCACTGAATTGACAACTTTTTCAACCACGTGAAATAAATTACTTCAAGGAGCATGTGCATGCTCCCAAAATGATATTGGCAAATATTAGTCAACTTACAAAGAACTGTTTTGCTGGCCGTGCAGGCGGCTTTACTTGGAGCTGATACCTGAAAAAATCGGGAGATAAGACAATAGAATTTTTTTTAAGTAAACGATGTTTTTGAAAGTACATACTTAGTTAATTTCTAATAATTCAAAACAATGACCGAATCAATTGCAAGGGCCTAAATGTAACTGTTGTGAACTAGGCGCTCTGAAGACCTACCAGTAAAGATATCCACATATGCCATCTGTTTTGTTATTATGATTTTTAAGCATACAAACGTATATACACATCATAGTTTTAAGCACTTTATAAAATTTATATAATCCCCATATAGTTTTTGAATAGCAGCGAACAAAGGTATGCCCTTTATCAGATGATCTTACACAGAAATTTAATTTAAAAAAATTAAAATCAAGAACAATGATATTATTTTTACTTCTTTCTCGCCGTACCTGGCCACGTGCTCTCCACGTGTTTCCAGTGCTGACCTCCACGTACATCATTTCCTTCCACATGTACAGCAACACGGCGGACATACTGAGAGGAGCCTGAAACACGTGACGTCATGACGTGGTAATCACGCGGAGAATGTATGCAAGGACATAGCCGCCAGATGGCACTGGAGGCACTTGCCGCCATCCCACCCCCTTTTCCTACCTGTTTGTTTGCACGTTACCTGCACCCGTCTATCCCTTTTATCAAATATCCCACTCCCAGTGCACCCACACCTACACCCCACAGCCGTATAACCCAAGGACTGGTTAATTTTGTGACATGGTGACCACTGAAATACGGCCATAGGACCATGAAAATTAAATAGGCTGAAAAAGATCATATCACGCAAACCTACAGATAAAGAACTCACAAAACATTTTGAAGGATGAAAATAACAAAACTTACCTCAGGTACCAGGGTGCCCTTTCCATGCCAGCTTTGGGTGCCTATCCTGCTGCCACCTATCGTCAGATCTACACTAGACGTGCTAGTCATGCCGCGTCTCGCGGGACCATACAGACCAGCACTTGGTTTAGAAGACGGACCCATTACCTAAACGGAAAGCAAGCAAAATTTATCAATAGTAATCTATTGTTCCACGTACAAGAACCCCCAGTATATCCAACACAGAAACAGAAAAAGTGTGTTTACAGTAAAGGTAATAATTGATGGCACATTGCTTTAACTTGATCATTAATATGTTCCAACCTACAGTATCTGTGTTATAAAAAAGGAACATAAATAATAAATAAAACAACAACAACAACCCAGTTCATTTTCCAGTGGGCCTCTAAGAATCTACACCGTTTTCCCATTTCATCCTTGCGACTTCTCCGTACCATTCACTTCCTGGATCCTGGATCCGCTAATATATCCACTATGCAAAACGCGTCTTTACGAACATGACATCCATTAAAGGCGCCTTGTTACTCACCACTATCTCGTACTGAATGTCACTGGAACCGGGCACAAAAATGGCCTCCCCTACCGTTCCCGATGGCGTCATTAGGGAAACCTGAATTATAGACCAATAAAGCAACTCTCAGCGTTATCAATTACAGTAGGCATGACTATGTATACACGAAAAACAAGTACCCCGACACAACTGATCTTAGGGAAGATTGATTTGCAAATGCGATTTGCACAATGTTTGGTTTAATGTTTCTTTTTGAAATCTCTATTTACTTTATAAAAAGTCTATAGATGACGAGGTTAAGGGAATATATTATTATGCAAACTTCTTTGTTTGAAAAAGAGATGCTACCATGATTATGTAACTTTGTATTTTTACAAATGTGACTTGACAAAGGGATTGACAGTCGTATTCTGCGACGCCTTTAAGTATTTACCTGTGTTACACCATCAATGACATCGCCCTGCAGGATTTCGTTGCCAAATGTTACAGACATGGATGTAAAAAATTTACCTACAAGTTGAAGAAATATTATTTTTCATTTACTTTTGTAAAAATATACCAATACTCACATTCAAAATAAAGTAGTACAACAATCGTATTTCAAGTAAAATTGTATATACATTTCTTTTCATTTAGTCATTTTGCTTGTGTCCTGTAGTATTTTAAATAAAATACTGTATTTGAGTTCATACCACTTTAAAAGGATCCGTTTTCAAAAGACAAACTGAATTTTCGCTCAATTGTTTTCGCAAATGTCTGCACTGATTAAAGCCATACTACCTGAGTCAATGAATGCTGCTGCCTGTGCGACATCTATAATTCCTTGCAATACGCCGTTCTTCATCATAGATATTGGAATATTGACCGTATTGGCACCTGCAGGCCAGGAAGAATATGGAAAAGACAGAAGTCACAACTCGAATGCTTATTGTCAAAGACACACAAACACTCACGAAAGAACACGCCTAGGCACACACACACACACACACACACACAAAACAAACACACACTGGCTCACACGTACCCGGTAGACGCGTGCACACACGCCCCTTACAAAAATGCTTTTCGAAACGCATACATCTATATCGGTTATCCGAGAAAGGCAGTTTAATTCATCGTTATACGATGTACAGGTATATATTATATACACACAGTATATATATATATATATATATATATATATATATATATATATATATATATATATATATATATATATGTTACCTGGAATATAAGTTGATTAAGCACGTCATATCAAATTTACTCAAACAAATCAAGTTTAATTCAGTTCGGTTTCGTCCATGGAAGTACTGTTAGTAGAACTAAAATACCCCCAGGGTTCAACTATCAAGAAACAAAGCTTACCATTTGGCCGCCCGTTCAGCGTGATCGCTGCGACGATTCCGAGCTGTTCCCCAACCACTACGCCCATCAGAGACGCTCGGTTCTCGGTCACCACCATACTGACCAAACCACGTGCGGTACTGTTTGACGAAGACGGAGACAGAGACAACTAGGTCAAAGAAATGAAATTATACAGAGATTTAATAGTTACTTGCAAAAAAAAAAAAAAAAAAAAATTCAGGGCATACGCAAAGTAGTCAAATCTTGCAAATGTACACAGGCTAAACATGATCAATGCCCTACCCCGAACGTTCTACTGGGCGCAGCACATGGGCCCGAGTTATAGATGGCAGCAGGGTAGGTGGCTGTTGCCCCTTGGAATTGGCTCCCAGTCAACCAGCCGTCGGGACTGTAGTTGTGCCCTTCATCGTAATACACGTTATTGGGCATCATGAATGGCCAGGCTCCTAGGAGGTTCTGGGTGTAGTTGGTGCACGTGCTGATGTCCCTGCCTACCCCTGCTGCCGTGGGCCTGAAAAATAAATAAATAAATAAATGTTTACACACACACGCACACACACACGCACACACACACATTAAGTTTTATTTAAAGATGATGCATGCCATACCTGATTTTTATATTAGTACAGGTGTAATAGGTGCTGCAGTTGTTATTTCCGTTAGTCAACTGAGAACAGGCTGTAGCTGTAAAATAAAACAAAATGAGTAACTTTTTTGTTCTCCTTGTGGGTTGGCAGTGTAAGTTAAAATTATTTATCACTGCCGCGAAAGCAATAAGTCCCATTTTTTCCACAGCGTTCTAGAATGCTTTGCACATCATTGTAACATTTGTCCGAATACCTTGAATCGTTGACCTGCGCTTTCAGGACGCTAAGAGAAAATTTAAAAAAATTCAAACGGCTGCTACAATTTTAATAGAAATCTAGAAGATTTTTAAACGGCGCTGCCACAATGTACAAAGGAAATTCACAAGATTTCAACGTCGTCAGAACTTTCAGAATTCCAGTGTATTGATGTGAAAAGGTAGATAATGTTTGCATTAGGAGGAAAAAAACATGTATTGCGTTAGGTGAGACAAGATTGCGTTGTGTAAAGTATACATACTGGGTCCATACTTGTCCGTCATCACAGATGTGAGTAAAAGATAGCAGTCCGGGCAATCGATGTCCGGAATGTTCACAGTCACCTGGGTCACTCCGGAACATTTGCCCAATGGCTCCCCAGATATCTAGAATTTGTAATAAAATTTTAATGGTTTTAACTAAAATAATAAGAATAATGGGAAAAAAAAAGAGAAAAAAAACTTGATTGAACAAATAATAGATAAAAAAATAAGATTGTCATTAAGATTGTTCTACCTTGGTTTCCTTACCTTGCAATTAGGGTCTGTGAAGGGAAACTTCACCACCATGGCGTCGTTGTGGGGTATGTGGTCAAGAAGCAGGCAGTCCGTGCTGTCGTCCCCCTTCTTCATCAGGCGAATGCTAGACGGGGCGCCTAAAATAGAGAAGCGAAACCAGTTATGATGGATGAAATTCAAACACATCGCCTGGGTTATGGAGTGAAAAAATACATGACGTCATCATGAAAGAACACGTGACGTCATCGTGACGTTTTCTCACATGCAACATGGCAAAATGACATATGACTGAATGTAGGTTTTAATGATTATATGTCTACGGTATCAGTTGGACATTGGGGACTCGAAAATCGATTTAACAGCCATAGGTTGAAAAGATAAACAAATTTTAACTTACAAGTCAACTTTAAGAACAAACAAGAATCACACTTATCAAAGAAAAATTATCAAAAAAGTCTTAAGAAAAAGCCAATCACGCTGTCACGCCCAAAACGCAGTTACCCACGAAAAGATGTCACATCTCCCACACTCACTCACCGCGATGGAAAATGGACTCCTCCCAGCGCACTGTCATCGGCCCAGGCACCACATCCATGTAACCCCCCTCAAAGTCTACAGCTCCACATGGGCCCTGAATTACACATAACATAACATAGCATAGCATAGCATAGCATAGCATAGCATAGCATAGCATAGCATAACATAACATAACATGACGTGATTTTATGGCATGCATACATATACAATATCCGGGTAGTGCGTCTCCAAGGACACGAATGACACGGCGAATTTCTTTTAGTTCGCTCTATTATTTGAGTTCAAAACAAACCTCCGAACGACAGATTTGTACCGATATCCAACCAATAGCGCTGCACGGCAAAAAAAAAAAAAAAAGGAAAGAAATAGTGCACAATAATGGATATTATAGTACTCAGTGAGGGGAAATAGGACGCCTAGACTACCCGACGTTAAGCGAATAACGAGACTAGGTACTTTTGTAAAATGACCATTTTTTAGCAGATAAAGCCATGTGGTCCACTAGACACATAAAAATGTCTTACCGATTTAATACCCGTGTTCGTGCTTTGTGGCCGCGGACACACCCATCTCACGTGACCCTCAATTGTGAGGAAGCTGGCAACCATTACAGAGAGACACAGAGCGAATTGCATGGCTGCGTTTCTGTCGCGTTTGGTTGCTTTCTGAGCTCTATTATTCAAACACCCTGGAAGTAAAAAAAAGAGCTTGCAACAAGATGACATCCAAATGTGATAAAAAGTAGAAATAAACAATACAAAAGAACTGTGTGGCTTTTATATTTCACCTTCCAGCTTTCAACTACATGCATATGTAATTCATTATTAAAATCCAATTAAAGACATCGTTTTGTACAAGCCTACAGAAGAGACCCCTGTCGGAGGGCTCGATCTTAGTGGTGTCTCGATCATGCTTGGGGTCATATCAGTTGACATCCGAAAACATCGTAGTGGCACCGCTACATATCACCGAGTTAAAAATGAGCCTTTTTTTCTGAACATCAACGACACAAACAAGGAATATAAGAATATTCAGAGATTAAAGGTAGAGTACAAAAATCCTTTGAACTAATTCTTCCTTACGCAAATTTCCTATTGGAGACCTATACATTTAGGGATTCTATCAGACGTCCTGTGGAGCTCCTATTAAGGACGTAAGTTCTAAAGGGCCATGTAGGATTTTGGGTCAATTCTCTGTAGGACTCAATAGGTTTAGCTGTGTTATGAGCTCTCTATGACTACCTTTAATATAACATCACGAATTAACGTAAATGCAATAACATTTCTGGAAAGATATTTGATCTTCATAGATGAACCCTCTACAACAAATTGCCTTTTATGACGATGGGACACTCACAGGTATGATATGGACTTAGTAGTCCGCTAGGAACCGTAGTCTGTTCCCCTCTTACTTTGTACAGGTGACATACGTCCTGTATACTGACCCAGATCTATGTGTGAGATAATACACTGTCACCCGAGCGATATATGCCATAACACCTCGAGCGTCAGCGAGAGGTGTTCATGGCATATATCGCAAGAGGGTGACAGTGTATTATTTGACATACATANATTTAATTGTATTTTTGTATAAACTGTTAATGTATGGATCAGTCGTCAATTACCCAGCAAACACAGAACGATGTTACACATTTACCATAGCGTTTCTATAACCAGAAAACGACATGGTAACGTTATGGTAACGTTCTGTGTTTGCTGGGTAGGGAAGTCAGTGTGAGATAATACACTGTCACCCGAGCGATATATGCCATAACACCTCGAGCGTCAGCGAGAGGTGTTCATGGCATATATCGCGAGAGGGTGACAGTGTATTATTTGACATACATACCGAGAAAAAATACAGTCATTTCATCCTAAAACACCCCTAAAACCGAATAAAGAGACCCTATATCACCCTCTAGAGATGTTATACGAAATAAACTCGTCCACGTGCGCTGGTCATCTCCCGCCAAATTCTTACGTAATGTCTGACAATTTGGTGAATTTTTGCTAAATACTTGTCGTGGACATTCAACCGTCGACACTGACCATGCGCGTCTCAGCTGAGCCACACCTAGCTGGGACTGCTGCGGAAAAAAGGTCCCAAGGCAAAATCTCTATTTTGTAGTGACATTTCTGATAAAAAAGGAACATCGGACCGGAATATAGTCAAACTAATTTTTCACAAGTGCAAAGGAGAAAGAAATTTACTTTTTGGTGATATTTCTGACAACGAGGCAGTTTCGGAATTAAGTCGAAACCGACGGATGTTTATTACAAGTTCACGGGAGTAATAATTCTAGTTCTTTTATTGTTATTTCTGACGACGAGGCGGTTACGGAATATAGTCAAAATCAAACTGATGTTTATTTCAAGTCCACAGGAGTAATAATTCTACGTTTTGGTGACATTTTTTTACTACGAAGCGGTTTTGGAATATACATGTGCTGGTTTTCAGAGCATTCATGTGCTACATGTAATTACAAGTTCAAAGGGGGAATACATTTGATTTTTACCGATATATCTGATAAAGAGGAAGAATGAACTATGGTGGCCCCTATTGGATATTGCGACTTTTCGACTTTTAGAGTTTGCGACTTTTAGAGTTTTAGAGTTTTCGACTTTTAGAGTTTGCGACTTTTCGACTTTTTTCTGCGGACAGCTTTTTGCTGCGGAACTTCTGCACTTAAGCACTCGGAAAGAAACAATGGAAAATCTAATAAGATACTATTTCAACGCAGGATACACCGCGACTGAGATTGCGAAAACTATATCCCTTGCTCATGGCACCAATGTAAGGTGAGTGTAATTTTCCATATGATATGGTAAGGAAAGGTAAGTATCCTCTCTCATCAAACTTAATTATATTGTAACTAATTATTAAAGGGGTCACGTCGATGCACGGGAGTGTCGGTGCGGGAAGTATCGGGATGTAGTCTTATGTAATACCAGTTTTCAGTGCTTAATTAAGCCTTGAGGGCTTTGCACATTTATTTATTTTCATTTTATATGGAAAAAGATGTCATCTTTGCTCCATCCTTTCTCTCTCCCCCCACCCCTTCATCAAGCTTTTGCATTCTTGCATATTTATACATTTTATGTTAAAGATATATTTGCATGTTTTGTATTTATGTAGATTGTTGTACAATGTATATATACATATTTTCTCATTTCATACTTAGTGAATCCTACTTGAGGAAACGTCTTGTCAAATTGAACTTAAGAAGAAAATCAATTGAAGAGGATATACCTGAAGTGATTCATGCAATGAGAGTGAGTCTTCTAAAGAGAAACTATAAAACTATGATTGTAAAATGTTGAATATCCAGCTAACTCATAGGTCTACATGTAGTTAAATTTGATTGGAAAACTTCTGCAAGTTTTGGCTTTTATTCTCATTTTGCACCAGATAGTGCAAAATTCATTTACAAGCACTTCTTATTGGTGATTCTGATATGCTTTGCCTATATCTGAATTGTCAGTAGGACTGCTACATGTGGTGCATGAATTTCTTGCTATGCACCATTGTGTCTTTGAATGATTCTTTTTCTGCTCATTTTAGTCTTTATAGCATGTTACACTGAGGAATGCCTTTTTTTCTATGAAAAAATTTGATGTCCGGCTTATGATCTCAGATTCTGACATGAATTGACAAACAGTGCAATATACCAGTCGTTGAACCCAATGAACACTCTGTTAATATTATTATGTTTACCAAATCCAAAATTAATTATTTTTTGTTAAATCGGTATCAGGGGGTAACTCTTACTCCACTACAATGAAGATAGGATTTATTAAATTACTAACACGTGTTTTAAAGATGCATACAAAGTCAATTTTTTGTCACAAAAACCCACCAAATGCCAGCATATAGTTTCAAGTAGTATAACTAAGACAATGACCAAAAGGCATTGTTTAATTTTACCCGAAAATGATGTTTAAATGGATTTTTCTGCTGGCATTCGAAGCTGTATGTCAATGGGGCAGGAACGTTGGTCACGAATGAAGGTTAAATTTACAACCATAAATTTAAAGAAAGGAGCAGTCTAAAGGTCTTTTATGGCTGATCGAGTGATCTATTCATTTTTTTCCTCGGCATGTGGAATTTATTTGAGTCATAAAACTAAAAAGAATCTAGTAGAAGTGGTTTACATGTGTTACTGGGAATCCACGCTCCACGGACTTGGTTCCTATGTACCTTTAAACACCATTTTTAGTTGCCTTACATGCCTTGTTGCAAATAATGTAGTTTATAAGCTTGGATAATTATAGAAGATGCATTTTACAATTTACTATTCTATTATATTATTTTATTTCCATTTTACTATTGATTATTTTAATTATAATGGGTTTTATGTAAGAATTAGACTGTTTGTAATCATTATCTTTATTGTAATCTGTTTTTTGTTTTTGTAATTTGAGAATGTGAATTATTATGTAGAATCTTGTTAAAATGAGTTTTAAATGCTTGTTTTTCATGTACTGTCATTAAACATGTGAAAGTGGATTTTCATTTTCTGAGTCTGTTTTGATGTAAAATCTTTGCAGGAAGAACTTGAAGGAACTGGCAGATGTCTTGGTTATCGTGGTATGTGGTCCCGACTGAAGAAAAAGTATGGTCTTTCTGTAAAAAGGTACAGAAAACTTTTTTTTTTTGCACTCAGCCTTGTTATATTTCTTTATGTAAATAAACATAAAAAACAATAAGCAAGGTAAATAAAGGTAATCGTTTTTATTTTTAAACAAGATAAATTGACAATAATTGAAATAAATAAACTTTTTAGGGATACTGTGATGCAACTCCTACAGTTGATGGACCCAGCAGGTGTTGAACAAAGATCCAGAAGGGGATTAAGACGCAGGGATTATACAAATAATGGTCCTCTTTATCTTGTACATATTGATGGATATGATAAATTAAAACACTTTGGTTTTGCAATACATGGGGCCATTGATGGGTAAGCTTTATGGCATTTTAATCTCTCAGTTTGTTCTGTTTTGCTGTGTTTAAAATGTGCAAAGGTTTCCGTCCATAATCTGACATGATTTTTTTAACTTCAAAATTTCATAACAAACAAATTTTTTTTATAACCTTTTACATTTCTAGTAACTAGAATAATGAAATTGGCATGTCAATGTAGTTTTATCTTTAAAAAGCCACAAACAGAGCAGAGTTTTGAAGTTGATTAATAAAAATGCTTGTCCATTTTTTCTGTTCGTAATGGTGATCAATAACCAATATTTCTTAATAACTAATAGATGTTATTTCAAGTTTTTTGGTCACAAGTTAAGGCTAATCAATATTCTTGCCAAATTTGACCAAAGTATGTATTATAGTTTTTGTAGAATTTATTTTTAAGTTTCAAAATTCCATCTGTAATGCAAAACAAATACCACGGAATGTCCCACTTAACAATGACCATCAGAAATTCATTGAATGTCCTAAAATGTTTAATTTCTTATTTGATAAAGGTTTTCAAGAAAAGTATTATGGCTTAGGGTGAGCCACACCAACAATGATCCTGAAGTAATTGGGACATATTTTTTGAATTTCATAAAAGAAATTGGAGGTAAATATATATATATATATATATATATATATATATATATATATATATATATATATATATATATACTAAATTGCTTCTATTAGTTAGAGACTAAGAGTTGATAATTAGAGCTGGTAAATTGTATTGCTAATAAATGTAAGTATGATCAACAGCAAGAGTATGTATATTTGGAACACTCCTTAAAATTTTATTAGGTGTACCAAGAGTCATCAGAGGTGATAGAGGGACAGAAAATACTATGGTTGAAGATTTGCAAAAAGCTTGCCGATGGAACTCCACGGACAACATGAGTGGAGAAAAGAGTTTTTTATATGGACGGTCTACCTCAAACCAGGTATAATTATAAAGTTATTATTGTCAATTTGTTAATTTCAAAATTGGTCAGGTTTGTTTTGCTTTTATCTCTATTTTTGTAAGTTTACCCTGTGCTAGCAATTTAATCACAGTGATCAACAAGTTACTTCTGCTTTTGCTTTTAGCGTATTGAAAGATGGTGGCTGGAATTAAGACAGTCAACAATTCAATTTTGGATGGATTTCTTCAGGAACATGGAGGACCAAGCCCTTTTTTCAAGTGACAATGTTTTGCAAAAGTAAGTACTGGTACAGTTAAATTTAATGTTCATAGGAAGACTTAAAATGTACAGTTCCTCCGCTTTATTTGATTTGTCATTGAAATTGTATGTGGATGAATGAACTATGAAGATGTTTTTTAGGGAAATAATAAGGTTTTGTTTCATGGAGTTAATCCAAAAAAATTTAGACCGTGCAGCAATGGAGTGGAATACACATAGAATTAGGCCTTCAAGAAGAAGTGACTGTCCATCTGGAATTCCAAATGTGATGTTTTTCACTCCATCTCTCTATGGTGATTTGAATTTTTTTTACTAAACAACATGATAAATTATTTATTAATTTCACATAAATTTGCTTGTAAGACTTTAATTAGCAAAGAATTAATAATCTACATTTAAAATTTGAAATTTCTGTTACTTAAAATAAATTAATCTTATAAAATGCGTGAATCTGACACTGCCATGTTAGGTGACTAATTTTCAAAATTATTGAGAGGTTTAAGATCGATGAAATTTTCAAAGTGAAAAAATTACTTTGGAGGAGAATCGTCTTCACACAAAATGTACAAGAAGAACAAAAATTCCAAGATTTCACCGTATACACCTCTCTTTACAAAACGTCACTCATCGTAAATATTTTCATTATGTAAGTAAGTATTTGTCAATAAGCTTCAAGAACTTTGTGCATCTTTGCTTTACAGGTTGCCGTGATTACAAAACCCCAGTATCAACAGAAGATATAGACAGGCTTGAAGACCTTTATGCTGTTCCACTTAAGATATGTAGTTCACCAGAGCTCCAAAGGGCCTTCCAAAACTCTTTTGCCAACTGGGCACCCCCTGTATCAAGTAATGCTGCTTTAGAGTTATATGTTCATCTTGTTAACTTATTTAATGGCCATTAGTGTAAATTCAAAGAGGCATCTGTAAAGTTTGGGTTTGCAATCATACCTCTTTATTTATTTTTTTAATGATAAAAGGGGTGTTGTGAAGTCTATGTATAAACTCTATTAAAAAAAAATCCATACAGTTACAAATAAAGACATTTATATACTAATAATTCAGCTTGTTATTTATTGCTACACAGGTTTATATATGATAATAGTAAAAATAAGTTTATTGAGCACTTAAAAAGATATAGATACATTTGCAGGTTCACTAGACTACATTGAATGTATGTGTATACAGCACTATGTTTCACATGTACTAATGCATGTTATCTTTACAAGTGAATAACAAGCTATTTCTCGACATTATGAACAATAGCTGTGATGTACTAAATGACAGGTGAACTATGTATTATCACCACAATCTTTACAAACCTGCTATTACTTAGAAGCCGTTTTTACAGGGTGGATGAAGGAGAATTAACTGACCACCAACTGAAGAATTTTCAAGATTTTGTTGATTTAAAAATAGGTATGGATCGCTTATGTATTGTAAACACACCTAAATTTCCCGTCCTTACACCCAAGGGAAATTGATTTTTTTAAAAGCTGAAATTGACATATTTGCATTAATACAGTCTGTTTTACATTAAAGTAGATATAAAAACCTGCTATTTGTATTCAGTCTGGTGAAAAAAATTTACGCTTTTTGTATTCAGTCTGGTGATACAAAAACACTTACAGGCAGCCATAAACCAAGCACAAGACAACTGAAGTGATATCACTCTGCTAATTTTAATTATTTTCTCACTGACATAACACAAGTTACCAAAGAGAGATGAGATGAAATCCCTTCTTTAGTCTACATTAACTTTTCTAGGTTTGAGAAATGTCTAAAGACACAAGGAGTTTTAATTGGATGCAATCTGACAGCATCCAAATGTGATGAGAAAGGCTTTCATATATGAGCCAGAGGTGCTCACAACATCATTAATTGAAAGTCTCTTTGACATCACTTGGTGCAGAAGAGCAAACTCTGTCATTTATGTGGGATTTGCTACTGGATTTAGAAGGTTATTTTCAATAAATAAATATTAAATGCATTTGGAGATAGTCGGGGGAAATATGGGGTATCTGGAACAAGAGTATGTGCTTTAAATGTATTTTGTGCATTTAATAATCAGAGAAAAAATTGACAGATTTTATTGCTGCCAAAACATTGGCCTTAAAAATTTTGTAATTTGGTAGCACTGGTATCCTCAACAGGTTAACACAAGTATTTGCCTTTGGAAATGGTGCTGTAAGGTCACTGGCATCTGGGTGTCCAAACGTCAGCTGGCACGGGGGTTGGAACCCAAGGGGTGGAGGTCTGTCTGCTCCTGTTGCATAAATTAGCAACAGCCCCAGTTCTTCATCTTCTGTAAACAAGTAATATATCCAGTTTGTATAAATAAATCTCTTAAATCTTCAACTTTAGTTTATGAATATTCGCACATTACCAAAGTAAATGTTACTGCACGCTACCTGTGTAATGCCCATTTTGATCAACGTAAAAAGAGAAAAAAAAACAGTCAAATCTGCAGCTTCTTTCGTTGCTGATGCTGTGCAGAACCTCTCAACAGCTGAGATACAATAGCCACAAACTACTACCATGGACATCTATTAATGAATGAACGATTCTTACTCATTTTAGTGCCTTTATGCATGATTTGGTTCGGGAACCAAGTCCATAGCACAACATGTTTAAAACAGGGCCTACAAAAATATACATTGAGTCAGTTCTGCTAGTTATCCTTCTCATCAACCAAAACTTAATACTCTTGTTCCAGATACCCCATATTTCCCCCCACTATCTCGAAATGCATTTAATTTTAATTTATTGAAACCAACCTTCCAAATCCAGTAGCAAATCCCTCATAAAAGACAGGGTCTGCTCTTCTGCATTCCTCTTGTTGGTGCCTTCGGGTGACCAAGTGATGACAAAGAGACTTTCAATAGTTGATGCTGTGAGCTCCTCGGGCTCATAAATGAAAGCCTTTCTCATAACATTTGGATGCTGACGGATTGCATCCAAAACTCCTAGTGTCTTTAGACCTTTCTCAAACCTAGAAAAGTTTAAGTTGACTAAAGAAGGGATTTCATCTCATCTCTCTTTGGTAACTTGTGTTATGTCAGTGAGAAAATAATTAAAATTAGCAGAGTGATATCACTTCGGTTGTCTTGTGCTTGGTTTATGGCTGCCTGTAAGTGTTTTTGTATCACCAGACTTAATACAAAAAGCGTAAATTAGAAAACTGGAATTAAGGAGAATTTACTAGAAGATAAAGTTAACTTGAAGTTAAAAACCAATTGGCAGATATTTACTATTAGCCATACTCCACAATAAAAAGATCAGTGAATGTTAACAAATATTAACAATTTTTCTGAGTAAGCTTTTTATCAGGTTATTGTCCACTCATGTCTAATGCTTAATATTAGAACTAACCTTATAATGTGCCACGTAATATGAAAAGATGTTTAGGTGTACATTTGTATAACATTGCTCAAAAAGTGTGAATCAATCCATGCTAACAGGGTTACACTTCAATCACTTGACAAATATTTTGAAACCACAAATAAAATCCATAACAGATACCAATTATTAGTTATGTAAATGTTTCCCATCAGTTTTTAGTTGGCACATTTTATCACAACTGAATTTTTAAACTGGTTATTTCAACTTTGATTGCAGCAGGCAATGGATTTGGTCACAAAGTTCTTTACTTACTGACTAATGGCAAGGCCATGCCTTCCAATAATAAAAAAGTGAACCAGATCTGTAACTAAATTATCCCTGTCCTTCAGCGACAGTCCTAAGGCAGTGCAGCCTGCCAGGTCTACTATGGGGTCATTTGTTACGTCTTGGTAGTTTTCTTGTGTTGTGGCATCAGCAATCTGCAATTAATTTTGTTTAATATTTATTTGACTGCTATAAGACTAAGATAGAGGCTTCTTGCTGCAGGATCCACTATGGAATTTTTTCAAGATTTCATAAAAAAAGCAACAGTGCAGCCATGAATTTACCATTTAGGAGTGGCAAATTATAAGGTCAAATCGAAAAAAAAAACTGATTTGACATTCCAATTTCAAATTGATGCTTCTATGCAAGACTAAGAAAAAACTTGTAGAGCACAGGCCAACTTACAGCTTTGATTTTTGATTTTATGCCCTCATCCTCTACTTCCTCTACAGAGCAATGTGTCACCTTCCCTGTGGCCAAAAAGCTGTATAGCACAGGATGTAAAAACTGTGGCAAAGGGCCATTGTGTACCAACAAATAGGCTATGAATAGACCAGAGCAAAAGTATCTGTCTTCCTCTAGAGCTGTAAAAGAGTAAAGTACATGAATAAAACAGTAGTTAAATTTGTGTGTATTAACCCTTTAGTATAATTGGTGGCATGCCTCTGAACTTCTGACTAGAAAGCTAGGAGGTTTTACACTGTGTCAACATGAAGATCAGAGGTTTGGGTTTAAAGGGTGGATATAATAGCCATTTTAAATTCATTATTATTTAAATATATGTGTGAAAAATAGTTTTAGCATTTCAATTTCTGTGTTCAGACTATTTCTTCGAAATTTCAGTTACTAATACTAAACTAAGAGAAATGTAATCTTAGGCATCTTGCAAAAACAATATAAACAAGGAAGACATCAGTTATTTTGGAAAAAAGAGACATGTTTGTGTAATATATTAATTATTTACAAACCTTTGTAGTCCATTTCAATAAACCTAGAGCTCCTTTTTCCATGAAAAATACAAGAGTTTTGTATTTCTTGCAAAGCAAGCCTAAAAAGTTCTCTGGAAGGTCCACTTCCATCGACCCCATCTTCATGACTGAACTGCACAAACATTCTGCGCTTTGGGTTGAATCTTTTACGCAAAAGAGCTCTGAACAGTCCATCCAGAACATTATATCTTACAACATTTACTGGGTTGCCAATTCCTTCATGCTCCACTTGTGATGATAACGTGTGAAGCACATCACAAAGTTCAATACTATCAGTCTGAAAAAATGAAGTTTAAAGCTACATGCATGTCTTAGAGTTATTACTACATTACATGGTTTATCATATATCAGTATGCAGGAGTAAGACAAAAAGTAAATGTCATACATTTGGCATGTTTCCCTGATAACATTCTGCAAGTACAAAAAAATACTAAAACAGCATGTGAAGTGATTGAAGGGCAAGCTGATGAAAAAGCATCTTATTTTTATTACTGACAGTTGGACCTGCACCTTTATACCAAAATTTTGAATTCTGTTTACTGCAAGGAAAATTCTGGACCTTTATACCAAAATTTAGTATTCTGTTTACTGCAAGGATAATTCTGAAACTGCTCCTTAGCAAAATGAAAATTTGCAGCAATATTGCAGCAAAAGAGTTACAAGTAAACATTTTTGCAAGAAAGTATTCATGTTCTTGCAAATTTGTGGCACATTGACAATAATTTCTTGAAAATTGGCTGCAAATTAGCAGTAAATTTGTGAGACAGTATGGGATAGGCCTGATATTTTGCTAAGGAGCTAAAAGATATTTGGTTTGTTTCTCACCGTTCTACGCAGAGTGACTGTTGGCGTGCCAGCAGGTATCAGTGTTTCTGAAGGAAGTAAGAAAATGCAAAAAAAAAAAAAAAAAATCAAGGATATAAAATTGGAACTTTGAAAACATGAACAATAAATAAACTACTAAGGTTCAACAGTGTTTCTTTAGAGCATTCTGACTTTTTATTTTAATTGTCAAGTAACAGAAACGAGAGGGTATTTTCACTAGAAAAGGTTAACTTTGATAAGTTTGGATTTTCTTATCAAGAAAGTATTATATAAAGAAAAGGAGTCATTCTTCGTCTGTTACCTGAAGTTACATCATGTGAAGAACCACTCTCAAACTGGTCCAGGAAGCTTATATGCCAACTGTCATTTGAATCTTCAGGAGCCAGTGTCTTAAAAAAAGGAAATGGGTAATTATTTTAATTTTGGTGTTATGCGTTAATGCTAATTGGAAACGTCTGACATGCATAAAGTTGTAATTATATCAACAATGACAAAATTGAGTGGATAATAACAGGCTATATAGAAAGAGAACAGCAAGCACAACCATGATTAAATAGATTAATTCAGTTGGGGATATACTAATCCAGCTGCTATTTTCCACGAATGCTAACTATATATATATAAAGACTATAATTAAACCTAGTAGTGATTCAGAATCATTGTGTGGGTGGGTCAGACTATTTCCATCAGTATGACCTTACTGACCTCGTGGGCAGGCCCAGGTGTAATGTCTGGCAGCTCATCTTGATCCCTTGTCTTTTACGAATATGAAAAGTACAGACAGTGCATCATGCATCATGAAATTAGGTATCATTTGTTCAATTAATAAATTCCTGTCCATTTTAAAGTTTTGCGTAACTTACATTTGAATATTAGATGGTAATCGAAAGATTGCCATCTCATATCGCTGCACTTTAATGTACCCACAATGTAAAGAGATGATCACCCTCAGGGTTCCCATGTATTACTATGGGTTTCATATGTAAATAATTTTCTTAATAACAGCATAAAAAGTATAAGAGAAAAATGCTTAATGGAAAAAAAAGAATCAATTCCTTCTCCCTCTCCCAATAATATTAACCCCTCCCCGAGGGACAGCACGCCTCCCAGGTGCCTTAATTAATATTCCAAAGTGATCATCTTCCCTGATTACAGATCTACCAATTCTCAAAGTTTCATCTTCTTCACTGTAATGGTTTAGGAGGCATTATCAGTTATTACAATGCGAAAGAATTAAGAATTGGCAACCCCAGGTACAGCTCAACCCCCTATTGCACTAAAATTCCAACGTACATGCACATCTCTGGTGACAGGTGTACTTGAAACTAAAATTACAGTGGTCAAACAAGTGATAGCTTACATATATGATAACCTTTTCTTAAAGTTTTTTACCTTAACATCTGTTTTGTTCAATATGTAAAAAGGTCTGTGCATCACTTTAATTACACCTCTAGTGAACATCAAATATTACCTGTTGTTGACATACCTGTTCAGCATGAACCACTCCTGTGTCAGGCAAGCTTCCATCTTCATCATATTCTTGATTTTCCTGTAATTATTAAACTTGAAACTTTAATTATCCTTATTGAACTCTTTATTCCTTATTGTATCTATTATGTTTTTTTATTATGTTTTTTTCCTTGCCAGTGCTTACTGTTAACAATGATTGGAAGTTCAATATATAAACAATGTTATGGCAATATATTTTCCAATTAAAACAGGTAAAAAGGAAAGCAATGTATACCGCCACCACTTGTCCAGCATTTTGTAGAGCATTCCTGAAAATAGACACATACTTTTGTAAAGAGGTGGAAGAAAAATGTATTGCAAGAGAGTTTATGTAACTTTCAAGTGTTTGACTTGAATATGATATTTTGTCTTAAAAGTAGGAAGCCTTTCATTAGGACTTCAACTTGAACAGTCTTCATGTAAAATAAGATCAGTCTTCCTGTGACAAAGGTTTAAATTTTGTCAGAGTTAAGCTTGAAATTATTTTAGTTACTTAATTTAGTTAATTAGTTTTGATGTATGTCAAGTATTCAGTTATTAGATTAGCAAGTACTTTAATTCACCTTCTATTAGTCAACAGATATAATCTCATAGGTCTCACTGCTGACTTCTCCATGTGACACCCAACATTAACAAATTCCTCCTTTTTTATAATATCCTCTTGAAAGGATGAGATTTTACATTCCATGTCCCCTACTGCACCTTTGGGTGATATTCCCCCTGGTAAAAATAAATTCTTCATAACCTGCAATATTGGATTTGAAAATATTTTAAACAATTTATATATAATTATTATTTAATTGTATTAGCAATGTTGGAATATACCTAAAAAATATTTTACCATCAGATCAAAATGAACAAAAGTCAGTTAAGTAAATACGATATAATCTCGGAGTTCAGGAAAAACTGTCCCTTTTACATTTGAAGCAAAACTTGACACATAGGTTAATAAGCAAGCAAAACTTACGTCTAAAACATCATCATAAGTAGCACTTTTGGCAACATCCGGTGTTCTGGTGCCACCTCCCTCCTTAAGTCTCACTTGGACATATGGATCCTCTTCATTGTCTTTGTGTTTCCAGCCAAGGAAAATTCTGGTGGTTAATTTGCTGCACATTTGTTTTCTTTCTTCTTTCTTCTCTTTACTTCTCTTAAAATGATAAAGGTTTGAAAATTAAACAAAGTGAAGTTGTAAAATGTCCAGACATTAAAGCTAATAATGATTCACATAATATGTTATTTTATCGATTTTGCTGTAATTTTACATTATGCTTAACACAAAAATCAACTCAAATAGTTAACAGAGTAAAGGGACACTCCATGAGTTAGAAAATACCCAGAATGTTCCTTTTTTTTTTTTTTTTACATCCACAGCATTTTCTAAAAGTAAACATACATCTTAAGATGGTTTAACCCCTGAGATATCTTCCTGGAACATACTGGATGTTGAGATTTCCATTGAAACTAAGATGTTATAATGACATCCATTTTATGCTAAAATCTACATTAACAAATTTAATCAAATGTAAAATCCAATTTGGTTTTCCTTAAAATGTGTTATTATATATATATATATATATATATATATATATATATATATATATATATATATATATATATATATATATATATATATATGCTAAAAAAGGGAATAAATGGATCAACGTCTGTCCTTATTGCATATAAGCTAAATGTAACGTGAAAATACAGCATACATAACTTTTGGAAAAATGGTGCAATGAAGCTCATTTTCGCACTCTGTTATGAATGTTCATCACTTCCGTAAGTTTGAAGACAACAGTCAAATGGTTTTCTGTTGAACGTGTTATTTATGAAAGTACACGACGGAACGGCAAGAGCACCAGAGACGACAGATGCAGGTGACGGCTAAAAAGCACGTTTTAAAAAAAATGCTCCCATCAAGCCAATTTTCAAATTTTTATGAATCACTTTGATACGTTTGAAGACAAAATTTTGCACAACATACGGAATACTTACGAAGAATATTTAAATGTAAAACTGAAGAAAATTTAAATTGTAGGCTGTGTTTCAACATTTCAAAAAAGATAATTTCTAAAGATGAAAGCATTTTAATAAAGAAATCATAACTTAATCAAATGCGTGCTTAGGAGGCTTTCACATGATATTTTACTCACTTGTTGTTTTTTTTCCACTCTCCGTCTTTTCAAGTTGTCCATGACCGAGATAATGTCCAGTGATCCCGCTACATATACCAACAAAATTAGAATAACGCTAATGTGCAAATATACATTCAAACATTCAAGGAACAATATGGAATAAAATGAATGAAGTTTGTATAGAAAAAATAGAGAAATCAATTACTCTAAAGTTCCAAATAATTTTCCTTTTCGAATTATGTTTGAAAATTAATTATTGTACTGAGCGTAATAATTGTACGGCATTAAATCAGAATAAATGTTTACACATGTGCGGAATAATAGAAAAGGTGGGCAATTCTAAATTTTGTGAAAAAAAGTAAAAAAAAAAAAACATTGGTTTGACAAGTATTTTTCAATCCTTGGTCATAATTCAGCAATGATATTAGCAGCACAGAAAGAAATGCATTTGTCATACACCTGTATTGATTAGCGATTATTAGGCCGCTGCTGGGCTCGACGCTCATGTTTCAGGTCACTTGTCTGCTTGGACCTGCCCTTTCCAAGTTTAACCTACCTCAAAATTACACTGCCACTCCCTCCCCCCCCCCCTCCAAACCAATCAGTGGGAGAAAATCAGTGTGTGTGTGGGAGGAGGTAGAGTTTGAAAAGGACGGAAGGGGGGCAGGGGGGTCCTTGAGAAATGTTAAATAAAGTTTTTTTCATCTTAAAATGAAATATTTCTTAAATTTCTATGAAAATTTACATTAGGCCTAATAATAAATGGCTTTTACGCCTTCTCATCATATTGCATGGGGTATTTGTCGTACAACTGTTTTAATGTATCTTTCATGATTGGTATAGGCTACTTTGGTTCTTACAAAGTATAATACACTGTACAGGGGCGGATCCAGGATTCTTCCGACCTTTTTAGGAATGACGGCCTCGGGTGTGAAGCCGATCCTCGACCCCTTGTCGTGGGGTGCGAGGCGTTTGAGCAGCTTTGGAGGGCAAACGCAGGTGCCATGTGGTACGGTATAGAGCTATATGCTTCAGCTAGCCAAAACTCAGTTCTCAGGAAATGAAGGCTGGACCCCCCAGACACCCCCCTCTACTTTCGACACGGCTGTATCTCACTAGAATACGTGTATGTTAAAATTCATATTGTCGGAATTTTTTTGATTATATCTTGAGACTTTCTTTTCTAATTTTCTTATATAAGAATGAATGGATAAATTCTGTAGCATTCATAATATGCACTTTAACCATGTCTTATTATATATTACCTACATTGAAGACTCACACATGTTACATTGAAAAGTTTTATGTAAAACCATTGAATTTGTAAATGTAAATTTTCTTTTAAATACACACGTGTGGAGTGTTTTTGTCACACTTTTTATGCCATGTATTTAGATAATTAACTACTCGATTCCCTGCATTTGGGGCAGAACAAAATTTTAACTAACAATGTTTATTAAAGCTTATCATGTTATAAATATAAGTCATTCAGAATCACTAACTGAATCATTGCTAGATTGACAAGTCAATCTCAACCCCACCCCCATCCCCAACCACCGACTTTTTTAATAAGGGTCTGAGCCTAAAGTGAATACGAAATATAATTAGGTTTGATGTTAGTTGCATCTTGGCTGCGCCGTTGCGCCGCGCGATGAAAACGACGTTGTCCCTCATTTTGAAGGATACTGTGCCACTTAAGGCGCATTATTACATGAAATGCCCATTGCAATTTAGTAAAAAGTTAGATAACAATTATTAACATTTTTCTTTTTCATGTATCGGTAACTCAGTCTACGGCCCGAAGGAAGTGCTATATTTGTGTACCCGGCACTAGTAGTTAGGTGTTCTAAGACGTCCGTGCGTGTACACGTGGCCGCTCTTGCCCAAGTTTGAGCGGCCCGTTTTCAGGGCAGTTCCTATGTTAATGACCTTTCCTGTATAACTGATCATTGCATGTTCTACATTTTTGTACACGTTTCATTATTATTTTTTTTTTTTTTTACTTTAAGCCAAGGCAAAACCCAAAAACACACTTTCAGGACGAGATTTACTTGTGCATGTGTCGATGTGTTACTTTCTTTCTCGAGAAGGACAGTTCAGTAAAGAGAAATGCACTGGCCTGACTGAGCGACTCGCTATATTAAAGGCATTGTCATCGGACTCGTCTTAAATGTCAAAACGTAAAAAACCATATGCTTGTCAGAAACTTCCCGTCGGTACGTCGGTGTAGAAGTTGATTGGAAAAATTAATAATCGTACATGCGAAAAACGCGCATACCGTGAGGACAAACTTTAGAATAAAAATGTGATTATCTTTCCGGTAAGCTTATTTGGAACTTCGGAGTTTTAATAAGTATCGGTTATTCACACTCACAACCCTTTACGTAAAACAGGACCCATGGCAACTCTGAAATTTACTTCGTTCTAGGATTGACGAGCGTATTAACAGAATTTTAACAATTTTCTGGACAACAAAAGAAGTAAGGGATACTAAAAATACATGGGTCTAAGATATTTCTTTTCAGATACTAGAGCAACATTACTCAATTTACACGAGATAATTACCACAAGAATGTACCTGAATGTTCATTCACTAGCTTTCTAAAAGCATCTTGCTGTCCCAAAGTTTTAAGTTCCAGCTTCAGCAAAGCTGCCTCTTGATGCATGAATCCTCTGCATTGTTCCACTGCTGTTATCTGAAATGGAAACGTAATCACTGTTTTATACATACACCTAATTGATTGGTTGGATAAATTATGAAATTATATTGTTCTTATAAATGTGTAATAACTCTGAAAATAATCCTTGGAACAAATTACACGAAACAGTTACTTTCAGCCAAAAAATTGAAACAGAAGGGCCGTCTTAAAACCCTTTTTATTTGAATCCTTGAAAATAAAATTGTGAGGCTATATAATAATTACAAGCATTGCTGCAATTAGCCACACTATTATCTAGATAACACTAATTTATGATGGGATTCAAATGATTTTGGGACAGCACTTCTGTTCCAAATTAATTGGATTANAATTAAAATTAATATGAACCGCCAAATACTGCAGCACAGAATCCACCTATAGATAAGAAATACGTATAAAAGATGTCTAGAAATAATATTGGAGGTCAGACTGAAGAAGACTCGAAGGTGACCGCTCGACGGAGCTATGGGAGACGTATAAAAGATGTCTAGAAATAATATTGGAGGTCAGACTGAAGAAGACTCGAAGGTGACCGCTCGACGGAGCTATGGGAGACCAGGGGCGTAACCAGACCTTTTAGAATTGTACGCACAGATTTTCAAAAGTCCCAGGTACGGCTAAATGTACACTTACGCAAACAGATAAAGGGCAGATAAAATTAAATGTGCCAAATACCATAGCTCAGTTTTCATCAGTAATAGAATCATCAGCTAAAGTAAAATACATTCCGGTGATTTAATTAAGTTCCATTACATTATTTCAGCCGGAAGCAAAGCTTTTTCCAGGATTGGGGAACAGGCTGTCCAAAATGGGGGGGGGGGGGGAGGCAGGGTAAAATGAAATGAAAAAATATTTTAAAAAATAATAAATTTCAGTGGGGAGGGAGGATTTGAAATAAAGCAGTTTCGTCGTGACTGAATAACAGCGTGCACTTCAGATTAAAATAGTACCATTAAACTGTGACGGATCATAAAAGCTGGGTACGTCAAATTACTCTAAGAAAATTCCTTACAACGTCCACGGCCGATCCGACAAGCCAAGACAAAGTTTAATTATTTGTTTGTGATTGTAAAAATTGCCCATGCCACCCTGTTACTTTGGTGGGTTATTCTGGATCAAGTCCGTGTAAAAATTCTTTGAAGCTTTGCAGGAAAATTTCGTTTCTTCCTTTGTTTCTCTGGCTCCTTGTTTAGCCCGACGTTCAGATTTTATCTAGTGCCCCCAGGTCTGCTGGAACTGCTCTTTGAGAATAATGCACAGGTAGATTTGTACCTGAGATA